AGGATGGTGTGCTTCAATCTTTCGGTGTCCCCGAAAATGAGTGATTTGTCTATCGACAAGAGTGACGTTCGGACTCACGCTGGAACATCCCAACGCCTTGGCAGGCCGCCGCCTTAACCACTCGACCACCTTGCCGATGACTGGATACCGATTGTCCATCCGGCCACCCGTCGGCACATTTGATAGCAGCCCGACTTGATAAAGGAAGTTTGTCTTGGCCTCCAGAAAGACCTATGAATTATTTGTTACGGCATACCGGTCCCGCAAAAGCACGAGCTGTAGACATCATAAGCTCTTTGACTGACCGCTGTAGGTCCAAGGCAATGGATTGCAGTATTGCAGGTGTCCCCCGGGAGTCGTCAGCCTTGGCAGCTTAGGGGTAGAGCATTCGCTTAGTTAACGAAAGGTTGCCAGACCGATTCCGGCAGAAGGCTTCCTTGCGCCACCCCCTGGATAGCTGGGGCTGGCTTTTTGTTGGCTGAACTGCGTTTCTCCCACTTGTTGCTCTGCTTGTTGAGAAGCTTCTTGCGTGTAGAGCGTTCGCTTCGTAAGCGAAAGGTCGCCGGCCCGATTCCGGCAGAAGGCTTGGTTCCATCACCCAGTGAGATCCAATGCGTCAATTCGGCCTTTCGCACCATGCCTAACGTGTGTGTGGGCGACCTAGCTCTTAACTTGCTCTTTGTTGGGCGGCTGGAACCATTACTCAGCTCCAGACCGACCCGGCCGACAGTCGGCTACGTCCCTGTCCTTTGGTGGCTGGTTTACGCTCTATCTATTCAGCCTTCCATTGTCCCTACTCGTTTGATCCTCTTGTGGCGTGCCTCTGCTATATGACATTTCAGCTGTCATACCTTTCCTTACCACCCATTCCTACGTACTACTGCTCCTCCCGCTCACCTACACCCCAATCCACTGAATTGTTACCTATTGTCCTGTCCCTGGTTTGTTACCACTTCGCTCTACCTGCCGGCAACGCTCCAACTTCGATCTTTCACGGCTTTGTGGGTACTCGGCAGGGACGTACCTCGAATTTCCCG